TCGAGGAGGGAGAAGGGAGGGCGATGAGGAGAAGGAAGCAAGAGGAGGACAAGGAAAAGGAGGAGGAGGAAGAAGGGAAAGGGTAGGGGAGGAAGAGGAGGAGGAGGAGGAGGAGGAGGAGGAGGAGGAAAAGGAGGAGGCGGGGGTAGAGTGTTAAGGAGGCGGGAGGAGGAGGAGGAAAGAAGGTGGAGGAGGAAGAGGAGGAGGAGGAGGAGGAGAAGAAAGAGGAGGAGGAGGAGGAGGAGGAGGAGGAGGTAGGAGGAGGGAGAGTAGGGGAGAGGGGGAGGGGAAGGAGGTGGCGGAGGAAGAAAAATAGGAAAAGGAATAAGGAGTAGTGAGGAAGAGGAGAAAGCGGAGAAGAAGCATGAACAGCAGGAGCAGCAAGAGGAGGGGGAGGGACGAGCAGGCGGAGGCGGGCGAGGAAGAGGAGAAGGATGAGGATGAGGAGGAGGAGAAGGAGGAGGAGGAGGAGGAGGAGGAGGAGGAGGGAGGGAAAGAAGGATGAGGAGTAAGTAGGAGGACGAAGGAGTAGTCAAGAGGCGGAGGAGGAAGAGGAGGGAGAGGAGGAGGAGCAGGAGGAGGAGGAGTCACAGGAGGAGCAACAGGATCAGGAGGAAAGAGGAAGGGGGGAAAAGGGAGGAAAAGGAGGAGGAGGAGAAGGAGGAGGAGGAAAAGGATGCAGGAGGAGGAGGAGGAGGAGGAGGAGGAAGAGATGGACGAGTCCCCCCTGCTCGGAAAAGAACACGAAGCTGCTTCCACCACCACTATTGTTGCGAAGCCGCCTCCTCCTCCCCCTCAGGGCCCTCCTTGTCCTCGTTTCGTCTCCTCTTTGTTTTCGCCTTCTCCTTTTTTCTCCTCCTTCTCCTCCTACCTCCCCCCCTTCTCGAGAACAGTGGTTCTTTACAACGCAATCGAAATCGTTCCCCAGGCGTGATTTGCTCGAAAATATGACGCATGCCAATTATAATGGTTGGGAATTGAAAGGTAATTGGTTGTGATTGAATGAAAACCGTCATTCCACACCGATTATCTTTGCGTTTGATCACATTCTTGCTTCTTAAATGGCGCACGTGTCATTATAATTGGCGCAGCGTGAGTTTAATTGGTGCGTGAGAGGGTTGGGGTGGCCGGTGCCGGCTCGAGCCGGTGCCGGGGCCGGGCCGTGGCTGGGCCGGGACCGAGGCCGGGGCCAGGCTGGGGCCGGGCCAGGTCGCCGGGGCGACGCCGTGTTGGGGAGGCCTGGTCAACAGTCAACACATGTCTGTTCTTGCCCGTGCAGGCAAGAAGAGGTCGTGGAACAGCTTGTGCCGAGCATGACAGCGCGACGAGCATGAGCGCGAGTCGCTTCAGGATCATCTGCAGCCGCTGCCCTCGGGCCTGTAGCTGTAATTAGCCATGGGTCCAGCACCAGGATCAGAGCATGGTGAACGGCATCGCCACGCACACGACGATCCACGACACCGTGCACATCCCCTGCACGACGAGGAGGACCAGCAGGGCAGATTTTTGCATCTTCATCTTGAGTTGACGGTGCAGGAGCGCCTTGGGCTGGGCCGCCACACAGGAGGAAAACGATCTGCGTAGCACTCATGATCTCCTCCAGCAGCATGGTCAGCGTGGTCCAGCGAGCTGCTGTTCCCAGTGCCGTCCCGTCGTAAGTGCCCCAAGCATGTGCTGAAGCGTGCGCACTCAAATTGAGCTTGACGCCAATCGGCTGTGCGATTACAGTCGGGGCGCTGAAGAAGGAACCCTTCTCGTTGGCGAGGGGCTCGGTGTTCCTTGATTGTTTTACAGTTCGCGTGGGGCTTCCATGGGAAATCGAAGTTTAACTTATGGGAAAAAGGGGCCTCGTTCCTTATTTAGGGTTCCTTAGGTCAACGCCCCGACTGTAGGCCGCAGGTGCTGTCGGACAGCAGCTGTCCGCTCCGCCCTGCTGCGGCTGCGGGCCAGCGCCATCGCGAGGCCATGCTGGGGCCGCTCAGGGGCGGCGCGGAAACGCCAGTGGCGCGTGTTGCCAAGGCGCGAGGGCGCTTGAGCGAGCTGGCGGTTTCGAGGTTCGAGGGGGAGGAGGATCAGGAGCAGGAGGAGGAGGAGCAGGGGGGGAGGAGGAGTAGGACCCTCCTCCTTGGCCTCCTCCTCCTCCCTCGTGCTTTCTCCTCCGCCTCCTCCTCCTCCTCCTCCTCCTCCTCCTCCTCCTCCTCATCATCATCATCATCATCATCATCATCCTCATCATCATCATCATCATCATCATCATCATCATCATCCGCATCCTCCCCCCTCCTGCCTCTGTCATAGCATCTTCCCCGCTCTTTCTCCCTCCGATCCGTCCCTTGTCGCCCTGGCCCCCCCTCCAGTTTGCCTCCTCCCTCCTCCTCCTGCTCCTCCTTCTGCCTCCTCTCTCCCCGCTCGTCGCCCCCCCCCCCCCCCCACCGCCTGCCCCTCGAGTTCTCCGCTGCCTGCCTGCACGAGCGCTGGTCTCCCGACGCGCGCCGTCGAGGAGGAGGCGGCGAGGGTCTACACGAACGCCGTGCGGACGCAGGAGGCTGCGCTCTTCGTGCGCGCAGTGCGAGGGAGATGATCAAGAGGAGGAGGAGGAGGAGGAGGAGGAGGAGGAGGAGGAGGACATTGGTGGCTTCACAACCCTGAGGGTGGCTGGTCCCTGAACATGGCGGAGGGCCTACCCACCGTCGGTCGAAGGACAGTGAAAGCTGGGATGGGGAAGTGGAAAATGAGCGCGATAGTGGGGAAGGCTCACTCCCCACAAAGCTATATCAAGAGCCAGGCTGGGGGAGGCTCACCCCCAAACAGCCATCTCGAGAGGCAGTCTGGGGAAGGCTCACCCCCACACAGCCATACCGAGATGCAGAGAGTGGGCAAGAGATGTGAAGGCAATACTGCTGAAGTGGGGGATCAGCGGAGAGAGGAAGAAGCCGCAATGGTGATGAGGGCTGGGGCCGGGAGGGGTGAGAGATCGGTTGGGCCACCGGGGCGGAGGCATTGGAGATCGTGTGGGTGTCTTGCAGACTGGGACGTCTCGCCCCCGCAGCCATGTCAGGGGGCAGACTGGGGAAGGCTCACCCCCGCGTAGCCGTATCAGGGGGCAGATTGGGGAAGGGGCTCACCCCCCTTTCGGCTGGATCGGGGGGCAGACTGGGGAAAGGCTCACCCCCACGTAGCCGCATCAATCTGCAGATCGGCGACGACGCACCCCCACCTAGCGAGATAAAGTGGCAGATAGGCGACGGCTTACCCCCACGCAGCCATATCGAGAGACAGACTCAACCTCACACAGCCATATCATGAAGCAGGCAGGGGACGGCCCAGACAAGCAAACACACACAAATACAAGCACACACACTCACACACACACACTGACACACTGACACACTGACACACACACACACGCATACAAACACACAAACACAGACACCATCACAACCACAAATACGTCCACAAACACACAACCACAAACACAAACACAAACACAAAGACAAGCACAAACACAATCACAACACACAAGCACAAACACAAACATACACATACTCACGAACACAAGCGCGCACAAGCACACACGAGCACAAGCACAAGCACAAGCACAAACACAAACACAAACCCATACACATACACAGCCACCAGCCACCAACACAGACCCAACCCACTAGCACAAACACAGACACACACACACAACCTGTCGAGGAGGAGGAATGCCATCAAGAGGAGGAGGAGGAGGAGGAGGAGGAGGAGGAGGAGGAGGGGGAGGAGGGGGGGGAGGAGGAGGAGGTAGGAGAGGAGGAGGAGGAGAGGAGGAGAGGAGGAGGAGCAGGTGGAAAAAGAGGCACGAGGGAGCAGGCGGAGGAGTAGGGGGAGGAGAAGGAGGAGGCCGGCGGGGAGAGCCGCCGCCGCCCGCGACAGGAGCGCGGGAGCGCCCGCGGGCCACGTTGGCGGGAAGGCCCGAGAGGAGGAGGGCTGCGGCGTAGGAGGAGGAGGAGGGGGATGAAAGGGGGATGAAGGATGGAGGGGGAGGGGTTGGAGGAGGGAGGGAGAGAGAGGAGGAGAGGAGGAGGAGGAGAGAGGAGGATAGGGGGGTGAAGGGTAAGGAGGAGGAAAGGTGAGGAGGAGGAGGAGGAGGGGAGAGGAGGGGGTGAGAGATGAGGCTGGAGGAAGGAGGAGGAGGAGGAGGAGGAGGAGGAGGAGCGGGATTGAGAGAGATGAGAGCAGTAGGTCTCCTCTGCACGTCTCCCGATGGTGTCCCACAGGAGTCGCGCTCTCCGAGGGCCCAGGTCCGGAGTGCCCTCCTGCAGCACGGGGCAGTGGCCCTCGTCCCCACGGTCCGCGTCCGTCTGCGACGCGGACCCGCCGTGCACGGGCCGCGGCGAGGTGGCGGGACTGCGGCGCGCTCGGCCGCGCGCGAGGAGGAGGGACGAGGAGTGCGAGGAGGATCGAGGGCGGCGAGGAGGAGGATCGAGGGCGAAGAGGCGGGTGGCGGGGGAGGAGGATCGAGGGCGAGGAGGAGGATCGAGGGCGAGGAGGATCGGGGGCGAGGAGGATCGAGGGCGGCGAGGAGGAGGGTCGAGGGCGAGGGCGAGGGCGAGGAGGTGGGGGGCGGACGGGGGCCGCCGCCGCAGGTGCTCCTCGCGAAGCCCGCCGGCGCCGCCTCCGCCTCGCAGGCGGGCGAGCGCGCTCGCGCGCGCGCGTCCTGCATGGGAACGGTGCTCCTCGCCCTCTCAGGCGGTCAGGGGGAGGTCGGGCGCTCGCACGCGCGGTGGGGCACAGTCCTCTACAGTACGGCAGGTTCGTGTCGTGTCGACCGGCGGCTACCCCGCCAGCGGCGTTCCACTTTGAACGCCGCGGGCGACCCAGAATCGTTCGATGCGGAACGATTTGGACGTTTCGGAAACAGCCGATCGTTCAAGGTTGAACGGTCCCCGCGGTGTCAGAAATCAGCGCCGAAGTCGGCACGACACGAACCTGACGTAGGTTCGCGTCGCGTGGGCACGGCGGCAAGCCCTTCGTGGGCGTTCAGTGTGGAACGCCGCCAGCGGCCCGGAATCTGCCGATATGGAACGGCCTGCACGATCGAAAAGCCGAGGTCAATCAAGGTTGAACGATCCACGCGGTGCCAGAAGCCAGCACCTGGGTCGTCGCGGCACTAGCCTGCAGCGGCGCCCGCCGTGGCGCCGGGCACAAGCCGCACGGAGGCTGTGAATCACAGCGGATGTGCAGCGATGGCGCGGTGCAAGGTCGGGCGGTGGAGCCAGTGCAGGATGGGAAGCAGACGGGGAGCAAGCGAGAAACATACGCACGATCGGCCGCACAAAAGGAGCTCTCAGTTGGTGGAGGGGGAGGAAGAAGAAGAGGAGGAGGAGGAGGAGGAGGAGGAGGAGGAGGAGGAGGAGGAGGAGTGTTCGCAGTTTCTCAGGTGACTTCTGATGGGCTGCGGAGGCCGCCGGGTGTCCGGAGCTATCCAGAAGAGTCCTCTCGTCGTCCTCACATTCGTCCTCACAGTCGTCGTCGCCTTCCTCCTGATCGTCATCATTATTGTTCTCTTTCCCCTGCTCCTCCCCATCCTCCTCTTCATCATCCTGCTCATCCTCATCCTTCTCCTCCTCGTCCTCCTTCTTCCTCACTCCGAGCACCCGAACCCAATTCCTACTGATTATTGTACTCGTTCTCTTACTCCTCCCCCCTCTTTCTGCTCCTCTCCCTCCCTCTCCGTCCTCCGTAGCCGTCGCCCTGGTCGCCGCCGCCGCTGTCGTCGTCGTCGTCTGCGTCGTCCTCGTCGTCGTCGTCGTCGTCGGAGCAATATTCACCGCCGCCGCCGCCGTCGTCAAAAATTGTTCCCAGACCCCCTGGCTGGTCTTCGAGAGCCGCGCCATCCTGGTGCGACCAGGGCCTGCAGAAGGGCCCACAACCCTCCGAGACGACGACGACGGCGAAAACGACGACGAAGACGACGACGACGACGCCGACGCCGACGCCGAACGAGGCCGACGCCGACGCCGTCGTCGTCGTCGTCGTCGTCGTCGTCGTCGTCGTCGTCCGGTCGTCGTCGTCGTCGTCGTCGTCGTCGTCGTCGTTGTCGTGGTCGTTGTCGTGGTCGTCGTCGTCGTCGTCGTCGTCGTTCTCCGTCGTCGTCGTCGTCGTCGTCGTCGTCGTCGTCGTCGTCGTCGTCGTCGTCTTCGTCCTTCATCCTCTTGGTCAGCGGCGGCGCAGGCGCCGGCCGCGACGGCGCCCGCAACGTCGGCGCCGGAGAGCGGCGCCTCGGGCTCGGGTGCGCCGCGGGGGGGGGCCTCCTCAATGGCAACGTCAGGGGGGGGGGAGGCGGAGAGCGGCTCCTCGGACCCGGGTGCGCCGCGAGTGGTGGGGCGGGGGGGCTCTGCCGCCGATTCGATTCGATTCGATTTCGATGTGTTCCGGTTCCGATTCGATTCGATTTCGGATTCCGATTTGGGATCAGATTCCTCACTGGAGGCCTCCCAGCCTGCCCATGTCTGCCGATCCGACTTGTCCCGACTCGGCTGCCGAGATCCGTCAATCCGATCAATGTTGATCGCCCATCCGACTTGTCGATTCGGTTCTAGGTTCTAGGCTCTACAGGGCAGCTGACCCGGAGGGGGACACACCCAGCCATGGAGAAAGAGCAGGAGGAGGAGGCGGAGGAGGAGGAGGAGGGGGAGGATGAGGAAAAGGAGTAGGAGTAGGAGTAGGAGTAGGAGTCAAGCTAGCCAGCTCGAGCGAGTCAAGCATGGCATGCCCAGTCCCACCCGCCCTCCCACAACATAAGAAGCAAAGCTGGCACAACTGGGGACCGAAGTCACACCGGCCAGCCGGTTTTGTACAGCTGATGCGGCCGCGATGGCGGTTGCCGACGGGAACTGGCGAGCGCATGTTGAATGCCGCGCACGCATTGCCAGACGAGTCGAGAA